AACTATTTTTCTTCGGAAATTTCAAATATTCTCACCAAAATTTTATAATTAGTCGGAATGTGAATTTTTGTCAAATTATTATTTTCGTTCGAGTTGAATATGGGACAAACCAATTTTTTAGAGAAAATTGTGATAGCATGTATAGTATAGCACGTTAGGAACCCGAAATATATACAACACCAACTTATATGCATCGTCTTCCTAGCAGTAAGTCGGTTTATTTAGCACGAACACGGAGAGTTATCAAACATATTTATGATATTACTTTCATTAGAAAGAAATGGAAGATGAAAAAAACAAGTGATTCAATTTAATGCAGTGATGTTAACTATTTTACATTAAACTCCGAAAGCATTGAAACTCATTAGGGAGGTTTATAAGAGTATCTTATTGGTGAATTTTGGTGGATATCATTAAATATAAAATTATTAAAATTTGAATAAAAGAAAGAAAAAGAGTGTTTTTGGTTAAAATAATGGGGTATATTGAAATATAAAATTAATAAATTTGAGTAAAGAGAAGAGATAGTGGATATTTTTGGAGAGAGAGTATCAAAAATATCAAATAGTTGATACTTTTGAAGAGAGAAAGAGTGTGTTTTTAATAATTTTATATTTAAAGAGAGTATAAAATTAATAAAAATTGAGTAAAAGGATGAAAAAGAAGGTATAAAATTAAGTAAAAAGAAGAGAGAGTGTTTTTAATAATTTTATATTTAATGATATCCTCAAAAGTTTATGGATAAAGATGGTCTAAGAATGGAGCGAAAGTCGTAACGTTTGGAGACGGAGGTTAACTATTAGTTTTTTTTTTTGACACATTGTGTTGATGTGGTACACATGGAGAAATCCCCTTTTACTTTCGTAGTAAAATATTTTTTCAATTTAAATATAGATAGTGTTAAATGCATAAAATTTAAGAAAGGGTTTTTGATAATATATTGGAAAATGAGTTGTCATCTGATTCATCAAAACAATACATCAACATTTTCAATTTATTCTAAACTAGTATAGCAAAATTGCAAGGCATGCGCGGGTTAAAACTCTAGTCT